TGTGTGTAGTATGGGTGTCAACAAAGACAAAGATATAGTTCAGCTGACAGAATGCTTGCCTAGCATGTCTACAGCCCAGGGCTCAATCTCCAGCACCCCATAAAACCAGGTATAGTGGCATAAACATGTAATCCCAGAACTGGGAGGCAAGAGGATCACAAGTTCAACCTCATCCTCAGTTATATAGCAAATTTGAGGCTAGCCTAGGCTACATGAAACTGCTTAAATCAACAACAACGAAAAAAGCAAAGCTGGGCCGGCAACACAGCTCAGAGGGCAGAGTGTTTACCTGGGCTCAGTCCTTGTCCAGCACCACACAAGCAAGACACGGAGGTACACACCCGCAAGACCAGCACTGGGGTGTAGTGGCTGAGGCTCTGGGGAGTGGTAATGGAACCGTCCCCTGCACTTCACGGCGCTAGGACCATGCTCAGGTCATTTGACTTTTTAACTGGATAAATGCGGAGCTGTAGTGTCTGGCTTAGTTTCCTTTTCTTTTTTAAATTATGTCTGTGTGTGATGGGGGAGTGGGGTGTGCATGCCATGGGACATCTGCGGAGACCAAAGGACAACTCCGCTGGCTTTGATGGGGCTCTGGAGGTAGACCTTGGGTTGCCACGCTTCAGTGACAAGCACTTTACCCACTAAATCACGTCACTGCCCTAGTTCTGAGTACTCTTCAGTCTGCTGTCCACCACGAAATGATGTTCGATGTGATGACTTACTCACGCTCGGCCACATCCAGCAGATAGGCGGCATCCTCTTGAGACGGATGAGCCATGAAAACAGCATCAAGGTCTTTAAAGGCACCTGCTTTGATTAAGTCGATCTTGCCACCACCGTCTTCTTCAGCAGGGGTTCCCAGGACAACGACCTACAGGGAGATGCATATGTTAGCCCAATGAGACTCTTAACAGGAAAACATTAACTAGGTTTGAGTGCATATGCACTCAGAACATATACTTAAGTCCTTAAACCCTGAAGAAGTTCTTTTCTGACACTTATACAGTGAGTAAAAATATATGGTGCAGAATCACAACATTTAATTTGTATTACTATAGTAATCTGATATAAATGCGTGCTAGAAATGCTATAGGAAAAATTCTCCAATTTTAGAACTCAGTTTTAACTAAGTGATAACAAAGACCAAAAAAAGGAATTCTATGAACTTAATTAAGTTCTTCAACATTTGCTAGGACTTATCTGTTAAAGTCTCTTCCAGCTGAGCCTGTTAGCAGACTATGTATATAGTTAGTCACAGCTTTACTGCTGAGGAGCTGGCACGTGACCTGTGACCCTCCCTACAACCCTGTGAGGTAGGTGAGTGGTCTGTACCAGTTCAGGCCGGCTTAGACTTCCAGGGTTTAGAGCTGCAGTCACCTTAGCTAGCTGTCCTGGCTTTCAGCTTGGAACTCTTACAGAGAAACCACTGAAAAGGTCCTCCTCACTCATGAACCCTTCATTGATGAGCGTTAAACAATCTCAGTACCATGGTTAGAAACCGTCAACTATTACACAAACTTACTAATTCGATTCCACCAGTTCAACCAGGAAGATTTAATGGTCACCAAACACCTAATCAAACAAAAGAGAACTTTACAGAATAAACATTTTACTTTGATATTTATGCTTAACTTCTTCAAGCAATTTTTTTTAAGCAAAGACAAATTATCTGCATAAAATTAATGTATTCCTAAGGTCATGTATAAAAATACAATAAAACAAGCTGGGTTGGAAAAAAAAGGCTTTACTTGCAAAAGGGAATCCACTCAGATTCCATTTTCTCATGAGAGAACCTTGCTGAGAACAACTACTTGAAGTTGGCATATTTCTCAAAGTCTGGCTGTGTTTATTTTTTAATTCATAAAGCATCCAAACTCTTAAATTGAGCTGCTTTGGGGGGGTTGGGGCTTGAGAAAAGATTTCTCTATATAATCCCGACTGTCCTGGAGCTCACATGTAGACCAGGCTGATCTCCAAATCACAGAGATCTGCCTGGCGTGCACCACCATGCCTAGCCACTGAGCTGTGCCCTATTCAGAATCTAACGGGCTCTTGCCAACTGCTGAGAACTTTTCTCTAAGTCTGTCCAGGGTCTCACACCCTCCCCAAACAAAACAAAAACCCAGAGGCATAAAAGAGAAGGTAGCCAGAGAGAAAGGGCCACAAGCGATGAACTGTTGCAGAGGATAATGTCACTGGGGGGTGGGGGTAGGGGGTGGGGGTGGGGGACCGGGCTGAGTGACAGATGGTTCCTGGCTCACAGAATCAAGAATTACACCATCTGAAAAGAGTGGAGTAACACAAGACAGACACGCACGGCATTCTGCTTCCAGAACCAAGACGCCTCTTGTAATTGTGAAATAAAGATTACCACTTAAATATGAACCCATCTACGTAGTAAATGTTTGTTTATTCGCTTCTCCGTTACTTCTACTCTTGCAGAGGTTGGGTAGTCTGGTAGTTCTAAAGATTGAAATTGACTATGCAAATACCAATTACTCAAATAATTTATTTATTTATTTATTTTTTGTCTACAAACTTGACTTGCAGGGATCGCACAACCTAGTCAGCAAACTGCAGCTGCCTGGTACTCCGGGTCGGCCGACAAACACCGCTGCGGCCCGGCGTGGCTCACCTTGACCGGCGGCGGCGCAGCGACGGCCTCCAGCGCAGCCCGCAGGCCCAGCGCCGCCGCCACCCCGACCTCCGCTATGAGGTTGTGGCCGCAGGCGTGGCCCAGGGCGGGCAGCGCGTCGTACTCGCACAGGAAGCCCAGCTGCAGCGCGCCGGGCCCCGCGGCCGCCTCCGGCGGCGCCCACTCGGCACGGAAGGCGGTGGGGAGCCCGAAGTGCGGCTGCACGGCCCAGGAGGCGGCCGGAGGCTCGCGCTCCAAGAAGCGTGTGAGCTCCCGGTGCGCGCCGTGCTCCTCGTAGGCCAGCTCGGGCGCGCTCCAGATGGCGCGGCTCAGCGCGCCCAGGCGCTCGGCCGCCTCGTCGATGCGCTCCGCCGCGCGCTGCTTCAGCAGCTCCAGCTCCGCCACGCTGCTGCTCGTGCCCGGCTCGGCCGGCCGCTCCACCACCGGACCCATGGCGCGGGCGGACTACGCTCAACCCTAGTCAGCCCTCGGCCGGGCTCGTCAGCGCTCGGCGGCCCTCGGAAACGCTCGGCCGTCCTTGGCAGGTCTCGGAAACGCTCGGCCGTCCTTGGCAGGTCTCGGAAACGCTCGGCCGTCCTTGGCAGGTCTCGGAAACGCTCGGCCGTCCTTGGCAGGCCTCGGCAACGCTCGGCGGCCCTCCGGGGCGCTCTGTGGCTTCCATAGCCCTGTATGATGTAACTAACCCCTCCGGGCCCGGAGTTGCCCTGCAGCTCCACCTCCAGCCCCGGAGTGGAGCTGGGATGTCAGCTCCTCCTAAGAAAAGAAATTGTACTTAAGTTTTATCTAAAATTTTGATCGACGGTAAGCCCAAGTAACATGATTTGTACAGCTCGTGTGAATATCACAGAGGGTCTAAGTTACCTGATGAAGAAATTCAAGAAGTCATGCACTCGTTTTCTTCCAGAGTGATACAAAGTTCAAAAAAATTGTTGATGATATGCCTAATAATGGGTGATCTGAGGTTTTCTAGTATTAAAAGCTTCAGCCGGTCCTTCCCATTCTACCATCTCTTAATTTACCACAACTAGTTCAAATAAGATACAATATATATTTTTAAAAAACCAATAATGTAGAAAAAATGTGCCTATGAAAATGAGTCTGAAGGAGTCTGTTGAGGTGGCTCAGGAATTTAATCCTAGCACTAGGAAGCCAGAGGCAGACACGTTTCTGAGTTCGAGGCCAGCTTGGTTTACAGAGTGAGTTCAGGGACAGCTGAGGCTACACAAAGTAAACTCTGTCTTGAAAAGAAAGAAAGAAAGTGATTAGTTTTTACTAGTTTATATCCTAACAATGCCAGAATCCATGTCACATTCTAATGTGAAAACCATCCTTAATTAACATCCTAACTAAAACTCAGACCTAAACATACTAAATGGCCTCACTTTTCTCTTTCTTAAAACTTTTTTTAATTTTAATTTTATTTCATGTGTATGAGCGTTCTGCCTAAATGTATACATGTGCACCGTGTGTGTGTGTGTGTGTGTGTGTGTGTGTGTGTGTGTGTGTGTGGTGTCTGAGGAGGTCAGAAGAAGGCATCAGATCTCCTGGAACTGTAGTTATACAAGGTAGTGAGCCACCCTGTGGGTGCTAGGAACTGAACCCTGGTCTTCTGGCATGAACAATACACACTCTAATCGGCCAAACCGTCTCTCCAGCCACACCCTCATTATTCTTAATAAACTTTACTCTGATACACATCTTATAGAAATCCTCCAGCATCTGTGAGACTGGAGATTAATTTGCTCAGTGAGTTGGCTAAAAGCCAGAACAATGTTAAGATAAGAGCATTTACTCTGTGCCAAATGCTTTCCTGGGTGTTTTAAACGTTAATACGTAGTCCTCATTCCCAACCTATGAGGTTATTAACGTGACCATTTATCTTCAATTTACAGATGAGTATCCGAGATTACACAGCCTTCTAAATACTGGGCACAGTATTATACAGAGGACAGTGTTTAGTCACTGTACTTGATTGCTTGTGTAAACAGACATCTGCAGTCATAAATGCATCTACTCACATCATAATGAAAAGAGTCGTCTTGAATGAATTTTATGGCAGCAACTCTGCCAAAAGCACTGGAAGTCTTTCTTGTTCTCTTTAGGCAATGCTAAACAGCTACAGATAGGCTTGTATATAAATTTTAAACACAAGCTGTTATTTAGGTTGCCTGCTACAAATTAACAGTGTTGTCATCTGAAGTGGTGGAAAGACAGGTAATTCTGGGCCCTATTCCTCCTGAGTATGTGTGCGCACACATATACATATGTATTCATTTTCTACTTTTGGCATGGATTTCTTCTTCATGGTCATTTGCATTCATCAATCTCTTTAATAAATTATGATGATTTGTTGAATGTGTGTCTTCTCTCCAGTCTTCATACTATTTTCTTGTTTCATGTTCTAGTTCCCAACATCCTATATCATGTATCTCTTGTCATTGGTTTGATAAGAATGGTCTCCATAGGCTCCTTATTTTAATGTTTAGTCATTAGGGAGTGGTACTACTTGAGAGGGATTAGTTGTGGTCTGGTGATATTTTATTTGCATTTATTTAATCCGTGGCAAATTCAGTTCATCCTTTCCTGGCATTGTAGAAGAAACCCCTTCCCAGAGCAATTAAATAACCAAAGCCTATTGTAAAAAACCATACTGCTCAGGGTGATAGAACAGCTATAGCAGAGAGAACAGAAAACTCGGGAGAAACCATAAAGCAAATTTTTTGGCAAACTTCTATAAAAGAACAAAGACCAAAATTAAAAATATGAATAAATGACATTCTCATTGAGGGTCTTGTAGACACAGGTGCAGATATAACAATAATTGCACCAGAATCTTGGCATCCAACTTGGCCTCTTCAGGATAATGTTCAGCTGTTAGGGATTAGAACATTATCACAAGTGAAACAGAGCACAAGATGGGTCAAATGTATAGGGCCAGAAGGACAGAGAAGAAAAAGCCATATGTGGCTAATAAAGCTATGAATTTTTGGGGCCATGATTTATTACAACAATGGAATATTCAGGTTAACATTCCTTCAACCTAAGAAACAAACCATAAACTAAGACATGTTCCTGAGAAAAATATTCCTTCAACATGAGAAACAAACCATAAACTAAGACATGTTTCTGAGAAAAATATTAGAAGATATTATAAAGAACAGTCACTGGTCATCCAGATTTTACAAGAAGAGGGCACAACAGCTGTTGATCTTTCAAGACACCAACAGCTCTACCTTTAAAATGGTTAACAGACAAGCCTGTATTGGTTCAGCAATGGCCTTTAACAACAGAGAAACTACAGGCCTTAGTGGAGGGAAACTGAAGGGACTGGAAGAGAGGAAGCTGTGGGCTTTGGCTTTGGTTTATACAGTGGAGGCTCATTAGCTGGTTAAAAAGAAATTTGTTTCATCCTGTTCTGGCTTCATAGCTAGCAATAGCTGGGTTGGAGAACAGGAGGCACAGAGAGAAGGCTTGGAGTGAAGGTAAGAGAAGGCTTTTACATATAGGGTCTCTTTCCATTTCCCCGATCACTCACAATAGTTGTAAAGGTCCCGTTTAATATTGGGATCTAGTGTGCCATTATGGGGCCATTTAGATCGATTATCTAAAGGATAATGACTACCTGGGAGTCAGGCAACACCTTGAGCTGCTTAGGACAGCTTTGATGGAAGGCAAGGTACCTGCTCGAGCGGCTCAGAACAACAGCTCTGCCCTGAGGGTGTCCCGGACACCTGGAGCTATTTAGAACAGTTCTGATGGCTGGAACTGCAAAGAAGCAGCCCAACCCTGGAAGGGAAATTTTTTTGACCTCTTGGGAAAGTCAGGCCTGGAACTGCTTCAGCAGGAAAGGCTATCCTGACTGTTCGGGAAAGTCAAGGTATACCTGGTGTGATGGGGGATGGTCTCCCCACAGGATATAGCAATCTCACTTCTCTCCTGGGGAGCTGTTACAGCTGAGCTTTGTTCAGCCCCCTCTTAAGGGGGCTTCCCAACAGAGCTCTGCTTCTCCAGCCTAAGATGTTGCTTCTTTTACTTCACTCTGAAAAAGGGGAAACCCCTGCAGAAATGTAGCAATCTCCTCAGGCTCCAGAGAAGAGTATTACTTTTTAGCTCTTGTTTTGTCCACTGAGGGACATTCAGCAAGGATCTTCTCTACCTCTCCCAGGACTTGACAATTAACCCAATTTTTTTCTTTTCAGGATCCCCTAAAGATGCCGTTGCTCCCAGACAGCAGGAAGTAATATTAAAAATATGATGCCCACATTCCCAAGAGGTGGGGTGGTTGGATTTTGGTCATTCAATGGGTTATAGATAATTGTCATTATTTAGAATGGTTGCTTACAAGTTGTTAATTGTTAATGGTTGGGGAAAAAAGCTAAACAAAAGAAATTAGAATTGGGGTTCTTGAAAAAAAAGAAAAGAAAAAAGAGAATATAGATAAGAGGTAGATTATTGAAACTACTCTGAAAAAAAGATACAGAAATAATAGGATAAAGGGTAGATTATTGAATCTATGCTGAAAAGAAAAAAGGGGGGATATAGATATGATAAGATAAAAAGGTAGATTATTGGATCTACTTTTAGAAAGCAACTACTAGTTTTAATATTTTACATTGGATTGGATTTTTGTTTATTGCATGCAAATTGTGTGTATTGATACAAATTTGAGATTGATTTTGTTAGAAAATACTGTACATATATTCCTAATCTTGTTCAAGGTATCTTACCTATACAGTTCATTTAAAATTGTAATGCAATTTTCTAGTCCTTGAAAGTTATTATTACCAACTAATTAGGATATAAGAAATGTAAGTTAATAGTTAGTCATTACAATCAAACTTATAGTCATATTAGGTATGTTTTCAAGGTTAAACTGAAATATATTTTAGATAGGTCATCTTCAAATACTTCAGAGATTTACAGAATATGGTATTTAAGATGTCTTAATAACAGATTTTCTTCTTCTTTTTTTAATGACTATGAGACATGTCTCATCCTGGCATCACCAATCTACTTCAGAGAAGATGATGGACATTGAAGAAACTCCATATGGAGTTTACTTTCATTGTGTCAAAAGTTATCCACTAGGCAAGAAAGTGCCCTCGCATGAACTGCTGACAGTATGCTGTCCAAAATGGATAAGTAGGACAGGATTGCCATTCCTTGCCAAGACAAAGTAAGAAAGCTCTTTAGAAAATTCTGCTTCACAGGTGAGTCTGTCAGATATGCTAGGCCTGTAGGCCAAAGATAGATGCCCCAACATTGCAGAGAAACCTCGGGTGACTGTCCAGGCAGCCAGCTGTTCTGTCATTTCTCATATCTTTTGGAAACCGATTGTTTGTACTTCCTGTTTTACTAGGTAATATTATTTCCTTCTCTAGTCTCTGAGGGAGTTGAAGATTAGATAGTTACAGTTTTCCTTGTTAAGAAGTTCAGAAAGGAAACTCACTAAGAGGTGTAAATTCTATAAGTCTGAAAGACATCATAAGATAGTTTTGGGTTGGTAATACAGGTTAGGACAGAAAGTGAATTAGGCACAACTTGGACTCACCAAAATAGGATAGATAAAGTAATATTTTTGCTGAATTTGTCAAATGCAAATGGACAAGACATTTTTGATGTATTTATTGCCTATTTATTGTATATAATTATTGTACTTATATAGTTTTTCTTATATTAGTTATAACTTTTTCTGTTAGACAAAAAAAGGAGAAATGTGTGGATATTTTATTTGTGGTCTAATAAATTAAGCTTGCATGAAGATCAGAGGAAAAAGCCATTCACTATATTAAACATAGAAATCAGGCATTGGTAGCACACACTCTTAATCCTAGCATTTGAGAGGCAGAGATTTATCCAGATCTCTGTGAGTTCAAGGCCACACTGGGAACAGAGATAAGCGTGGTGTTACACATCTTTATTTTCAGTGCTATTCAACCATAGAGGTCTGGAGGTCTGTACAGACAGACAGGAAGTGATAGAGGAAAGCAGAAAGAGAGTGATGTAGCTGGGTGGAGAGAGGAAGTGAGGTGGTAGGGACAGAAAGGATATAGGCATGAGTAGACAGGAAGTAGCCCTCTCTGGAGGCTGAGGAGTTGGTGAGGTGAGGTTGGCTGTGGCTTGTCTTATTCCTCTGATCTCTCGGTTTTCACCCCAGTATTTGGCTCCAGGTTTTTTGTTTTTTAATTAATAAGACCTTTTAAGATTCATCTTACTTTGTGGCCTTGTTGCAGTATGTGTGGCATTTTGAAGGAAGTGTGTCATTGGGTCTGAACTTTGGGGTTTCAAAAGCCCGAGTCAGGCCCAGTGTGTTTCTATTCTTGCTGTCTATGGATCTGGACATAGAACTCTCAGCTTCTTCTCTAGCACCATGTCTGCCTGTGTGCAAACATGCTTTCTGCAATGATGAGAATGGACTAAACCTATGGGCTGTGGAATGATCCTTCTGTACACTGTGAATATGTTTTGCTCTTATTGTTAATAAAAAGCTGATTGGCCGATGGCTAGGCAGATTCTGGGGGCAGAGAGATTGCTGTGAGGAAGAAGGGCAGAGTTGTGAGGAGACGCCATAAGACTCAGGTCGAGAAAGATGGACAGTTCATAGATGAGGTAAACGAGCCTTGGAGTAGCACATAGATGAATAGAAATGGATTAATTTAAGTTAAAAGAGCTAGTTAGTAACAAGCCTAAGCTATCAACTGAGCATTTATAATTAATATTAAGTCTCTGCATCATTATTTGGGGAGCGGCTGGTGGAACAGGAAAGTCCGCCTATACCTATGAAACTATAAGCAAGCCCTAATAAATGATTTCTTTTATAAGAGTTGCCACGGTCATGGTGTCTCTTCACAGCAACAGAACACTGACGAAGACATCCTCCCTCTGTGACAGTAAATATTTTTGGGGTAATTATTCTTCTTAACTCTAATGGTAGTTTTACTCATTACACTACACCAATCTACCAACAGACATTCAACTCCATGCAACTTTACAGATTAGAGTTGGGTGTCTAAAAAGAATGTCTTTTATTTGTTTGTGTGTGTGCGCGCGTGTGCGTACGTGTGTGTGTGTGTGTGTGTGTGTGTGTGTGTGTGTGTGTGTGTGCACCTGTGTATGTACATGCAGTGCCCAGAGCAGGACTTCAGGTATCTTCTATTGTTCTCCACCTCATTGCCTTGAGACAAGGTCTCTCACTGAACTGAAGGCCCTTCTCAGCTAAGCTGGTTAGCCAGCCACCCAGAATCCACCTGTCTCTGCCTTCCACCCATGCCCAGAGCTGGCACAGATACACACAACCATACGCATCTCTTTACATGGTCACTGGGGATTTGAACTTATGCTTGCAGAGCAGGTGTTCTACCTTTTGAACCACCTTAACTAGCTCAAGAATATCTTCCTACAGCTGGGGTTGGACATGTGGCATTCTACATCTACTGTCCAAACAACTGTCTGCCATATCTATGATGCAACTAAGGACACTGAATTGTTGTTGCTAGGAACAAAAGCATGTAGAAAAACTCCCTTCCTTTATCTGGGGCTGGAGTTAAAGAAACAACACAGAATTAACTATTAAGGGTTTTTTTTGTTTGTTTGTTTCCTTTTTGAAGGGAAGGAACTGGGGGTCAATAGAAATAGTTCTTACATGATGTCCAGTTTTAAAATACAAAGATGTGTCTTTCCTTCCAGACTACTCACAAAACAAGCCCCCATCACAGGGCATGATAACTTTGAAACAGGAAATTCCTGTGCTTTATTAGCAAAAATAGAGGGGAGAAAGTTCAGATACTGTGGAAAACAAAACTGAAACACCACTCACATTATACGACATTATACTGCATGTTATTTTAGCTTCAGACCTCCTTTTGACAAATGACAGGCTTCAGTATGGTTTATATGCTTTGGGTAGGATAAAAATAATCCCCAAATGAAATCCCCTACAGACTGACAAAACGTAACCTAAATGAGATCACAGAAAGTGGGATGGAATGGTAGTGGTGTGTGTGGGGAGGGGGAGGAGATGAAGAAAACTAAGGTAAAAATAAAGGCAACTAGAAATACTGGTGGAAGCAGTGTTTAGAAGGAGAGAGAAAGATTTGATTCATGGAGAAAATGCAGTTATGTCCTCCCAAAACAAAACAGGAAATAAAGAAAATGTTTCCAAAAATGGATAGGAATCTTCCTTGCTGTCTTCAGTTATGATATTTTGAACCTGAACAATTCAGTCTAGAATGAAACAGAACCATGGCATGATTTGGGGGCTGCCACTACCTGAGTGCTGAGAAGTACTGTGTCACTACAGAATATTGTTGCTAAAATCCTCCAAACCAATCCCCAGTGCACATCACTACCTCTGGAATGGCTAGTTGAAATAAATATATAACATACATTTAAAAACCCACATGGGCTGAAGTGTTGGAAGAACTAGCTGCCAAATAGCAGAAAGCCGAGAACTGAGGGAGTAGGTAGGTCAGCAGAAAGATGATTTTTGATTGGGGGTGGAGGGGTGTCTTAGTCATTATTCTATTGCTGTGAAGAGACACCATGACCAAGGCAACTCTTAGAAGGTATTTAATTGGGGCCTTGCTTACAGTTTTAGTGGTTTAATCCATTATCATCATGATGGAAAGCACAGAGGCATGCATGGCTCTGGAGTAGTAGCTGTGAGCTACATCCTGATCCACAGGCTGAGAGAGAGAGAGAGAGAGAGAGAGAGAGAGAGAGAGAGAGAGAGAGAGAGACTGGGCCTGGCTTAGGCTTTTGAAACCTCAAAGCCCACCCTCAGTGACACATCTCCTCCAACAAAGCCATACTTCCTAATTCTTCTAATCCTACCAAACAGTTCCTCTCCCGAGTGGACCAAGTATTCAATATGTGAGCCTAGGAAGGCCATTCATATTCCAACTGCCACATTCCCCTCCAAGATCCCCATATGCTTATAGCCATATCATAGTACAAAAATGCATTCAATCCAACTTCAAAAGTCCCCATAGTCTACCACAGTCTCAACAATGTTTAAAAGTCCAAAGTTCAAAGTCTCTTCTGAGACTCATGGCAATCTCTTAACTGCAACCCCCTATAAAACCAAAATGAAAAAGCAGATCACATATTTCCAACATACAATGGCACAGAATACACATTACCATTCCAAAGGGAGAGAAAGGGAGCACAGTGAGGAAATACTGGACCAAAGCAAGACCGAAGACCAGCATGGCAAACTCCAAATTCTGCATCTCCATGTCTGAATGTTACTGGTAGCCCACCACAGATGACCACCCAAACACAGTTTAACCAATTGAAAGTCTTTATTCCAGTTGTCTGGGACCACACTCAAGTATGTGGGGACTTAGATATGGCTCTGAGTGTCCAGAACATGAGCTTTTGGAAGGCAGAAACCACAACCTGGGATCTCATTTGACAGCTTGGGAAGGTGGGGGCAGGCAGTTTAACGGAAGCTAAGTTAGCTAGGACCACCTGACCTCGGGTTCCTGGAACAGAGTTGGGTAATTTTTCCATAGGATGCTCCACCAAGGAGATCAAATTCTGGTTAAACCTGAAATGGCCTCAGTAAGAATAGAAGATGGAGGGACTTCACCCTGTCTTCAGATCTCCGATTCCTTTCAGCTTTATTGACAGTAGCACACTTCTTTCTCTTGGCCTGGTCCCATTCCCTGTTCGAAGCTTCCCTTGGCAGGTATCCCACAACTCTGGCATCTCCAACATCTTCGGTTCCCCAAGGCGATCGAGGTTTCACCTTCACAGCTTCACACAATGGCCTCCCTGGGACTTCATTCAGGGATGCCCCTGGAACACACCTGGCCTCAGTGGCTTTCCTTAGATGTAGAGAGATATTCCACAACCCCTTTCTTGTATTCTTCATTATAAATCCAGAGCCACGTGGCAGAAGCTGCCACGTTCTGCTGCTTGATGGGCTGGAACTTGTCCCTCTTTCAGTTACATTTGTTCAACTTTCAATTTTCTTCAATGCTTAATCTTTTCTTTAATTCATTTTTACAAGTTGGAAGCTTAGCTGGGTGGGGTCTTGCCTTGAGGTTAGCACTCCCCTTATGGCATTTAGCATCAGGCTTTTCTTTAACCTGTCTATCTCCTTGAGCACAAGACTTGGCTCCAACCTTTCCTGGTGTTCTTCTCCTCACACACTGCATATTTTGTATTCCTCTTTGTCCAGCTTCTTCCTTTTCATTATAGATCTGCGTAAGAGTGATCACTAGTAACCACATGATAAAGTTAACACTAGGCTGTCCTGAAATTTCCTCTGCTAATGCCATTAATCCAAAACAGTACCAAGTTGTTCTCTGTATTGCCAGCTCCCAAATAACAACACAGAGACTTATTACAAAAGCTCAGCCTTAGCTTAGGCTTGTCCCACTAGCTCTTATAACTTAAATTAATCCATTTATTTTAATCTACATTCTGTTACATGGCTTGTTATCTCATCTCTCTCCATACTGCTCATGCTGCTTCCTCCGAGTCTGATTGGCAATTCTGCCTACTTCTTCCCAGAATTCTCTCTTGCCCAGAAATCCCACCTATACCTCCTGCCTAGCTATTGGCCATTTGGCTTTTTATTACACTAAACACAACAATACATTATTACACACTGTATAAATATCCCACAACACAAAGCTCCTCAATTTTGTCTCAGGCAGATTTTTAAGACAAGGACAAAATGTAGCCACATTCTTTGCCAAAAACATCACAAGAATGGTCTCTAGGCCACTTATTAATAGTCTTCTGCTCTTGAAACTTCTTGAGCTGGGCTCCCACAGTTCAAATTGTCCTCAGCACTGTCTTTCATGCTCCTACTAGCATGGCCCATTAAGCCTAGCTTAAAATGCCCAACAGCTTTTCCAGTCCTAAGTCCCAAAGTCTCCCATATTCCTTCAAGAAACAGCATGATCGGGTCTGTCCCAGCAATACCCCAGTTCTGGTAACAACTTCTGCCTTAGTCACTCTTCTGTTTGCAAGGCCCTCTAGGCTTCAACATCTAGTCCCCCCACCCCACTCTGACTTCTCTAACGGCCGTTTCCAGCCCCTTGAGGCAGGAGAATGGGTCAGGTCCTACCTTATAGGGTCTCTGTAAAGAGACACCATGGCCAAGGCAAATCTTGTAAAAGAAAACACTTAATTGGGAGTTTTCTTACAGTTTTAGAGGTTTAGTACATTTTTGTCATGGTGGAGAGCATGGCATTATGCTCTCCATGGTTGGAGCAATAACTGAGGGCTCCATCCTGATCTGCAGGCTGAGCCAGAAGTGAGGGGAGGAGAAGGAGAGGGGGTGCTGGCATAAGCTTTTGAAAGCCCATGTGACATACCTCCTCCAACAAAACCACACCCCCTAATTTCTAATCCTATCGAACAGTCCCGCTCTCTGGTGAGCAAGCATTCCAATACATGAGCCTATGGAGTCCATTCTCATTCAAACTACTACAAGGAACATAGAGGAACTGTACATGCCACTAAGGATTCCTAACCTAACCCCAACAACCCAACCACTGGATGTGTTAAACTTTATCAGAATTTTGTTTACAAGACTAATTGGAGATTAAATGAAAGATGAATTGGAAACAGAAGACATTTAAGTATAGGCTAAACTAATAGACTCCTGCTAAACCCAACAATTCCAGTAACATTCCACATTCCAGCTGACATCTGGTTGAATATCTGAATCTTAGCTAGGGACAACGCAGAGAAATGGTAACAGGTTTCTAGTGCTAACAATTAGATGGGAGGAGAAGTTACTAAGAAAACAAGGGTAATTCTTCTTCGAGGTCTAGCCTGGTAAGTGTAGTCCTCATCCCTCATCAAGGAAACTTCTTTTTGTAATAAATGGAGACCATTACAGAAATCCACAACCAAATCAAAATGCAGAATTTCAGAGCCCAGTCCCAAATGATACATCTACAATGCAATGCCAGCATCTAAGGTTCAGGGATCATTGCAGAAGAGGAGGCAGAAGAAGAGCCAGAGGGTCAGGGAGTTTATTGTGAGACTGTGTCTCCTAGTAATATCAGAAGCTACACACAGAGTCTCACCAACATGACTGCCTAAACATGAGCTGAGCAAGACAACGATAGACATGCCACAGTGGATGGAGGAAGCCCAGGAGACCTCGACCCTACACAAAGAACTACAGGCAAGTAAAGAATGCCGAGAGTGGGAGAAATAGTCTTCCTCAGGGAAGAGTAGACCACCCGGTTATCCAATGGTCAGTCCTGAAAGCATATGTATGTATGCATTGCAACAGCATACAGACTGGGCCAGTTGTACTTATGTATTTAGAAATACACATATATGTATGTAACAGCAATTAATGAAAAAATAGATCATGAATTTGAAAGAGATTAAGGAGGGATATATGAGGTATTAGAGGGAGGAAAGGGAAGGGGGCATGATATATTTGTACCATAATCTCAAAAATAGAAGAAATAATTACAAATAATATAAAATTTAAAGAGTAAACTGAGGCAATAGGAGGATGAAGGACAAGTTGGTGTGTATGTGTATATGTGTGTGTATATGTGTGTATGTGTATTATGTGTGTGAGTGTATATGTATTGTGTATGTGTGTGTATGTATGTATGTGTATGTGTGTGTATGTATGTGTGTGTATATGTGTGTAAGAGTGTATGTGTGTATATATGTGTATATGTGTGTAAGAGTGTGTGTGTGTGTGTGTGTGTGTGTGTGTGTGTGTGTGTGTGTGTGTGTTGGACATCTGGAGAAGTGGTGGACATGGACACCCAAGAGGAGATAAGCAAGCACATTAGAAAATACATTTATCTGTATTGTCTATGCAGAATGGTTATACACAAAGAATAAGCAAAGCATTCAGGGAATGAAGAAACCAAAAGAAGAACTAGGGATGAGAAAGCAACCCTGGAAAACACAAAATGCCTCACAGACCCATGTTCATATTGGGTAGGGGTCTGTGTACTAGTTCGGGTTACTGTTGCTGTGATAAACTACCATGACCAAAAGCAAGTTGGGAAAGAATGTGTTTATTTGGCTTACACTTCCACATCATAGATGATGGACTGGGCCCTCTTCATCAATCACTAAGAAAATGCATTATAGCCAGATCTAATGGAGGCATTTTCTCACCTGAGGTTCCCTGCTTTCAAATAACTCTAGTTTGTGTCAGGTTGATGTAAAACTAGCCAGCACAATATCTTACTACTTGTCTTCATGTTCTGTATGAGTTTTCTCAAATGATCCACAAAAGGAAGGCAGATATTTCAAAGTCCTGGCTGTCCCAGTGCTCAGGGACTTCAAGCTCTCATTGGCTTCCCTCTCTCCTGCCAAGTGAGATTAGCTGCTCTGCTGGCCACAGCCATTCCTGGAAATGAGAACAGTAAAGGTCCATCCAGGGACAGGCCTCTCTTTTGTGCTGATCCCTCAGAACCAACACACAAGCATTTGGTTGTGGTGGATAAGAAGATTTCCCTCCTGAGGGTCATGAGTGGAAAATGCCAATTGCTCCTCATCCCATTGATACTATATAAAACCCAGCTTGGCGCAGCACCTGAAAGACCCGTGACAGCTTTGATCTCTCAAGCAACATATGGACCTTTAAAAAATTCTTACAATGGTTTAGTGTGTGTGTGTGTGTGTGTGTGTGTGTGTGTGTGTGTGTGTGTGTTCGCATACGTAAGTGCAGGCATGCACATGCTACAATCCATATGTGCAGGGTAGAGGAAAACCTCAGGTGACTGACTGGCCTTGCCTTCCTTTACTTGAGACAGGGTCACTCAGGGTTCACTGAAGCGTCTGCCAGGCTAGCTGGCCCATGAACTATTGAGGACAGTCCTGCCTCTACCACCATCTTGCGGTAGTAGTCCTGGGAAACAGACACATGCTGTCATGTCTGACTTCATATAGTTTCTAGGATTCAAGCACTTCCATGGCAAGTACTTCACTCCCGAGCCATCTCCCCATCCCCAATGCATGTAGCTGGATGTGTGCCCATCTTGTTAATAATTTCTGGCACTAAGGTTCGCTCTCACACTTCCCACTCATTTGGGTGGTACACATTTTAAAGTTGCTAGTAAGAATGAATGATGAATGGTCACAGGCTGCTTAAAATCCTCAAGGTTTCTACAAAAGGAATTTTTTTTTTTTTTTTGGTTTTTCGAGACAGGGTTTCTCTGTGTAGCTTTGCGCCTTTCCTGGAACTCACTCTGTAGTCCAGGCTGGCCTCGAACTCACATAGATCCACCTGCCTCTGCCTCCCGAGTGCTGGGATTAAAGGCATGCACCACCACCGCCCGGCTTTACAAAAGCAATTTTTATAAAAAGATACCAGAAGAAGAGTTATTAATAAATAAAACTGTAAGTGGTCTAAAAACTAATAAGTAAACATCCAGCTATTACGGGCATTAAGAAGATGGAGCTGGGAGCAAACCTGAAATTTCCAGCAAAACCTATTAGGAAAATACAGTTACAGTGTTCCCAAAGGTCTTCTGTATACAGTGCCTTTCACTTTCTGCCTCTGTGTTGTACAGTGTTGTGTGACTGACTTTTCCTGGGGAGATGCACCACACATGTCCACTCATCCCAGATAGGGAGCCCACAACAGACCAAAGTACAGATACCACCAAAGTCCAACTCACTGAACCAATGAGTTCTGCTGGGGCTACGTATACAAATATGAGTGAGGGGTCACAGGAGCAGGAACGACTCAAGGACAGCTGCATCCCCAAAGCCCACAGCAGCATGAGTGACCGCCCACAAAAGCGGGAAACTGGGAGCACACTGCACAGCCTACAGGCAGCTGGGTGGGTTGGAGAGAGTGCCCCTTTCCAGGCAGCTTAGCTGATTTCTGCTTTTCTTCAGGCTACTGGGCTTGTCTAGGTTACTCAGTTACTGCTGAGCACTTCTCAGCAGTCTTTGTTTATTTTTGGGAGGGAGGGGCCCAGTGAATCTGGTCCGTTTCAGGGACTTCCTGGAGCTATTTTGAGTTTTTACTTTCTATCTATTGGAGTGTCTTTGGGAGATGGAATCTTTCAATCTCCTAGGAAACTACCACACAATATACAGTCTAGAGAGTGCTCTGTAAGAGCCATATATTTGGTTTTGAATGAATGAGCTAAAGTATTTAGAAAGGCACAGTAAAAGAATAAAATAAATTAGATATATAGATGGATAATAGATGACAGATAATAGACAGACAGACAGTAAAACATCATGCGGAAGGGGAGGGGGCAAGCACACAGGAAACAGACTACACTGCTGAGCTGCTTCCCAGTCCCTCTAAGTCTGCATTTTCAAAACATGCTTTTAACTTGTGTATTCGCTATTAATGTAGCAACAGGGGTTATCCTGGCCAGACACCGCCAGTATCTCCTCACATCATTCAGGTTCCTTTTTTTTCTTTAATTTGAATTTGGGGGCAGGGATATGTATAGGGATACGGAAAAGTAAGTATACTCTAGATTTGGGGAGCACTCCTAAGCTGCATACTCGGCTTTATTTTCTTTCTCAATGTCTTTGTTTTATTTCTATTTTTACAGTATAATATTTCAAGACTTCCAGGTAAGATGGCAGGCTGCTTTTATGTGATCCAGCAACAAAGTACCAGTATCAAAAAAGGAAGAGTGGGAAATCTTCGTGAAATCCACCCAAGGAGTGACGGGACGCTGCCAAGTGTGAGACACGAAAAGGCACTCGCCAGCGAGGAGAAAGCCGAGCAGTATGCAACCCCAGTGCGGCTCTCCAGGACAGGCGGGGAGCAGCCGCCTTAGCCAAAAGATATGCCGGGTGGTCCTGGTGAAAGGGGAGTGCCAGTCCCAGCTGCGGCACAAGCCTCCAACCCAGCTGCCGGGCTTGTTGAGATGGTGACTCCTCCAGGTGGGATGGGTCAGCCGTGGAAGGGGTTCCCAGACCTCAGAGGGCCATGGCCGCTGCCACCCTGACCTGAAATCTACTGTTTAAAACTGAGCTACTCTAGCCGGGTGGCGGTGTGCACACCTTTATCCCAGCACTAGGGAGGCAGAGGCGGGTGGATCTCTGTGAGTTCGAGGCCAGCCTGGTCTACAGAGAGAGTTCCAGAACAGTCAGGGCTACACAGAGACACCCTGCAGTGAGAGCCCACAAGTCTGGTGAAGAATTTATTAAGGGGTGCAATGGGAATAACACACGAATACAGAACAAAGCAGATGCCTGCTTATCCAGCTGTCGTCCTGCCGTTCTGCCCAAGGGCAATGAGAACAAGCCACGCTTCTCCATGGCTTGCTCCTGCTTCCACCACCCAAGAGAGAGAGTGCAATCCCTCTCCTCTGTTCTTATTCAGTCACATACTCAGACAAGACCACGCCCATAGGGTTAGTCACCCCAATACTATTGGCTGAACGCTTCTGTGGGCGGTCACTCATGCTGCTGTGGGCTTTGGGGATGATGCAGCTGTCCTTGAGTCGTTTCTGCTCCCATAAGTGACCCCTCACTCATATTTGTATACGCAGCCCCGATAGAACTCAGTGGATCACCGAACTGGACTTGGGTGGTATCTGTACTTTGGTCCGTTGTGAGCTGATCGATCCCACAACAAAACCCTGTCTCAAAAAACAAACAAACACAATAACGACAACAAAGCAAACTGAACAACTCGAGGGGTGAGGGGTTTGAGAACAGGGAACGGTCACCAGGCTGGCAACCTAAATTCACCCTGCCCCAGGCCCAGGGTGACAGTCTGGGAGGAGGCTATGAAGAGGACATGGGCTGAATGCTCACGAGCTAGAAAGTACAAGCAAGGAATGGTGAGGCCCAGGCAGTGATGATACAGGGAAAGGTAACCCCAACCTCAGGCTCCAAGAGCAGAACACATAAAATGAAATTAATGTGGAGTTTGATAATTCTGAGGCTGTATCAACCTCTGTCACCACCTGTCTTCCTCGAGACTCACTGATACACAACTGAAAAGTTCTGAGCTTGCAACTGAGTACTTAGCATCCCCAGCTGTGTGCCTCCAGCAGGGTGATTGATGCTTAGTGGGTTTTGAAAGTATGAAGCCAAGTTTACCTATTCAGATCTCAGAGCTGTGGCTTTTCCCCACATTGCCAACACACTTGGGAGGAACCCTCAAGCTACCTCAGGAGGTATAAACTAGGGAATCTTGGGGATGTGGGAGAATCTGCCTGGCCTGCACATTACAAAGCTAAATGTGGTCAACAGAAGCCCTAGATGCGGAGAGGATAGCTCTGGCAGACATTGGACACTTGGCCAATACAGGTTCAACACCAGCACAAATCATAGGAAACCCAGAAGTCCTCAGAATCAAATGACCCTCTCCTCCCTGCATACACCTAGCACTTAGGAAAAAGCTATGGTGAGGTATGATGGCACACATCCTTAATATCAGTACACAGAAGGCAGAATCAGGAAGATCTCTGTTCTTTCAAGGCCAGCCTGTTCTACATAGTAAGTTCTAGGACATCCAAGGCTACATAGTGAGACCTTGTCTCAAAAATAAATACAATTCAGAGCTGGGCAGTGGTGGTGCATGCCTTTAATCCCAGCACTTGGGAGGCAGAGGCAGGCGGATCTCCGTGTGTTCGAGGCCAGCCTGGTCTGCAGAGCTAGTTCCAGGACAGCCAGGGCTACACAAGAAACACATCTCAAAAAACCAAAGTAAATAAATAAATAAATGCTTAAATAAAACAAAATAAAATTCAGCAGCATTTACTCAAAAAACCAAAATAACACATAATTTAGTGAGATAGAATTTCATGTAAAAGATATCTAGTGTTAGCTACAAGTTCACTGTCAACAGAGACAAAGTGGTGTAGTTCTATTCTGCTGTCATCAGTATGTGATTTTTCTCAAGAAATCCTCGTGAGTCCAAGAACTCCCAGCATTCCACTATCCAGCCAAACTCCAGGCAACAAGGACAAAAGCTGAATAAAATCCTTTCAGGTGCTATCGCAGGCATCTCTGTGGAACATTTCTGTTTACATGTATTTGGTCAGAACACAGTCGTGCTGACACCTTAGCAAGGGAGGCTGAGAGATAGAGTCTCTTTGGATGGGTAGTGTGGCTTCTAGAACAGGCCTTGGTAAGCAGGTGGGCAAGCGGAGATGAACAGAGCAGAAATCGAAAGAAAAGTTAAGAACCACCAGACAGCTACAGGCACCTGTCACTTTGAATACAGTAAATCAACCCTAAAAATGTGGCAAATAAAGAAACACCCACATCCAACACAAGCAAGATGTAGATTCTCATCAGAGTACATACTCACTGACTTCTGAAAGAGATCAACTTACCCCTCCTTCTTAGGTTACCATAGAATGAGATTTTACATATTCCCTACACACAGCATAAGTATAAAATTCATAATAGGAGGCAATCATATGTTCTCCAACTGGGCTATGTGAAATGGTGTTTTATAAACTAAGTGCGAGATAATAGCAGGGGGCGGGTGTGTGTGTGGGGGGGGATTTATAATCCATCCTATATAAATCTCCTGTCAGCTGGGGATGTGGTCTGTGGTAGAGCATTTGACTGGCAGCCACAAGGCCCAGGCTCAATCTCCAGTAGCGCTGTACACACCACATAACTACCATGGCAAAAAACAAAAAACAAAAACAAAAACCAGGAAACAAAACACTAGCGTCCCCATCACCATTATGACCCTGTTGAGGTCTCTTATGGCAGTGCTCACTACAGGAGAGTTACTGCCATCTGCTGGCAACCTGCAGCATTACTCCATCAAATTACCACACACGCTTCAAAGTGCACACACAGGCCGGAGCATAACTTAATTTCTCAATTAGTTAGAGTTCTCCACTATGACACTCAAAACCAAAGCTACATAATTAATCCTATTAAGCTACACTAATATTATGTGTGTAGTAACACACATCTGTAAATCAGCGTTTGAAGAGCTGAGATAGGACAGTCTCAGAGCCCAGGGCCAGCCTGGACTATAATATATAGCAAGCTTCTTAATTTCAGGGGATGGACAACTCAAAGGCTTCAGGAAGTCCCTGAAACTGACCTGATACACAAAGACCCTCCCTCCTCAAGCATATATAAGCTGTAAAGACTGCTGAGAGACACTTTCGGACAAGCTAAGCTGCCTGGAAGAGGTTCAGACCATCCTGGAAGATGCTTTCCAGCTTGTCTAGTTTCCTGTAGGTTCCTCAGTGAGCTAGTTTCCAGCTCTTCTGAGCTGTTATGGATACCAGAATGGGCCTCGGTGATGCAACTGTCTTTGAGTCATTCCTGTAAACAACCCCTCACCCACATTCCTGTAGGTAACCCTAATGAAACTCATTGATTCACCAAGTTGATCTTTGGTGATATGTGTACTGTGGTGTGTTGTGAGTAGACATTTGTTCACATACCCCAGGAACAGTGTCACACAGCACATGGTGACTTATGGACTATAATCCTAGTATTGGAGGCCAAGGTAGGGAGTTACCATGAGTTTAAAACTAGGCCTTACTACATAGTGAGCTCCAGGGCAGCATGGGCTACAGATTGAGGCTTTGTCTCAACAACAACAACAACAAAAGAAATCAGAGTTGCGTTCTCCTGTACTATTTCGGAGAGGTTCTCTGGAGTGAGAGTATAGGTTGGCGAACAGAGAACAAGCAGAAAGGCCTTAGCTACATCCTGGATTTTGAATGACAAGCACTGTTCTTAGCTATTTTGCAGAGACAAGTCCTCCAAGTAAATACCAAACACCAGATAGAATTCCCTACATGCCTTTGTTGTCTTTCTTTTTACTGGTGTAATTACATTTTATTGACCTGTGTATTGTACAGTGAGGGGAAGAGCACAGCTGTTGGAGTCTGTTCTCTCCTTCTCCATGCAGGTCCTTGGAATCAAACTCCAAGCGTCAGGTTTGGTGGCAAGCACCTTTATCTCCTGAGCCATCTCCCCAGCCACCATCCGCTTTCAATATAACATGCACAATGATTTAAGAATTTGCCCAGCTCTGTGTAATCTGCATACTCGGGAGGCAGAGACAGGCAGATCTCTGAGTTCGAGACCAGCCTGGTCTACAGAGTGAGTTCCAGGACAGCCAGGGCTACACAGAGAAACCCTGTCTCAAAAAAAAAAAAAAAAAAGAAAAAAGAAAAGAAAAGAAAGAAAGGAAGGAAGGAAGAAAGAAAGAAAAAAGAAAAAGAAAAGAAAAAGAAGAGAAAAGAAGAATTTGTTCTTTAAGACAAGCTTTAACAGTTAAAAGGGGGTTCTGACATTTTTCTTTTTACAATACTCTTTATAGATCTGTAATTTCTTCTTCTTCCTCATGTATTGTTACAGAGCTCGTACTCAAATCCAAGGCTAATGCACACTAGGTAAGAGCCCTGCCATACTGAGCTCTCTGTTGATTTCAATTACAAGTTCTGGGTTTGCTTGTTTGTTTTTGTTTGCTTTGGTTTTTTGAGACAGGGTTTCTCTGTATAATAGCCCTGGCTGTCCTGGAACTTGCTTTGTAGCCCAGGCTGGCCTGGAACTCACAGAGATCCACCTGCCTCTGCCTCCCAAATGCTGGGATAAAGGTGCGCACCTCCATGCCTGGCTCAGTTACAACTTTTTAACTTTATTTTTTTTTTTTTTGTTCTAAGTGAAATAGCAAGGATGGTGGTGAATGCTGGTGATTCCAGTGCTACAGAGGCGGATACAGGAGGATTGCTGTAAGTTCAAGCCCACCTGGAGCTACATCAGTGAGTACCAAACCAGCCAATGCTGCATAATAGACCCTATCTCCAAAGGAGGGAAAAGCAAAATAATGCTAGTATCTACATGAGAAAAGATACACAAATTTCTTAAAATATTTAAAAATATAAGCCCTGACTTTGGGAGGAAATTAAGAAGTGTGAAATAGACCAAAAATTTTCAGGTCAAATCATTTTCTTAAGACGCTTGAAGGTGAGGATGGGAAGAGGTCCACAGGGCAGATGTCCCCAGCCACATTGTCACCCTAGGCTAACTTTTTATTCTTTTAACTTAAAATGCTTCTATTTTAATGGGAGAGATTACATATGTGTGTGATGTGTGTTTGTGCCGAGGCCAGAGGAGGCTTCAGGGGGTCTTCCACTCTACCTCTCTGTCTTCTTGGAAGAAGGAGTCACTCACTGATTTGGACCTCTCCACTTTTCCAGGCCTTGCTGGCCAGCAAGCTTCTGACCTCACAACGCTGGGCTCCCAGGTGTGTGGCTATGCCCAGGTTGGATTTTGTTTTTGTTTTTGTTTTTGTTTTGACACGGGTGCTGGGAATTCTAACCTCATGTTTTCACAGCAAGCACTCTCATCTACTGAGGCATCTCCCCTGTCACTAGACCTGCTACTCTCCTTGATGAGCCTCTGCAAGTCCGGGAGTGTCATCTGATGCTTGGAAGACATGATTCAACAAAGCAGGATCTTCGCTTATAAAGCCTAGAACTTTGGGTAAATGGGATTTTTTTTAAAAAATCTGGGACAGGGAGGATTTTTAATCTGGACCCTTAGGAGTACCATGAAACATCAAAAGGATGATAAAGCACAGCTTCATCACTTACTCAACACAGCTGGTTAAGACACTGGCCAAGCTTAGTGCAGTATTCCTGTTTTTAAATTATTTTTTTTTATTTTATGTGTATAAGCATTTTGCCTACATGTATATAAGTATGTATGTATGTACATTCCATGTGTGCTTTGTGCCCCACAGAGGCCAGAAGAGGATGTTGGATACCCTGGAACTGGAGTTAAGGGGTCTGTAAGCTACCATGTGGACGCTCGGGATCGAGCCAGGTCCACTGCAAAAGCAGCCAGCCCTCTTTAGCTGCTGAGCCTTCTCTCCAAGCCCACCCCTCCCCCACCCCGGTGTAATATTACTTAGTTGTCTACACTTGGAAACGTTCCTGCCTCAGGCCCGCAAACAAAAGGCTGTTGTTTTGAAAGAGGTACTTAGCTGCTTCAAAACGTCTGGAAATTGGAAGAGCAGATCTATGCAGTATCAGTGAGGACAGGGCTCACTTAGCCCAGGCTGGCCTCAAACTCCTTCTGTAGTAGAGGATGACCTCTGATCCCTCTGCCATCACCTCCCGAGCGCTGGGATTACCGGGGCCACCACCATTCATTCCTGTTTCATGAGATACTGGAACAGTGCGCCTCCTGCATGCTAGGCAAACCCTCCACCAAATGAGCCCTCCTCCCCCCACATCCTTAGAGGATAACTTTCATTAAGCCACCCAATGTATTACATTTGTTGCAGCAGCCCCGCTAGCCGATACAAAGTACTCTCAACTTTCCTATTATTAAGTCCAGCTGGAGCTTCAAGAGTGGAGCCACAATACCTAAGGGTTTCTAGGCCTAAAACCTTGTTACAAAAATGCAAACAAGCAAACAAAAGGCCTCTTGTCTGGGTTTCTTTGATGCTCTCCCAGTTTACTGCTGCCGGCCTTTATACTCAGAGCCGCTGTGCCGTAGTGGTTCCTCCCCACTCGTGTGTGTACATTTGTTCTCCATTGAAGATGGAGTTGATCTCTCCGGGGGAAAGCTGGGCTATGCTTGCATGCCCGCAATAGGGGCCCTGTCCCTTGCTCATGGCTCTTTCGAAGCCCTGCCCGGAATCTTTTCTGGGGCTGCTTGGGTGAGGGCGTGTCTGTTCCCCAGCAGCCCAGGCAGTGGTCAGGTCGGTGATCGCGCGGTCGCTCAGGCCCCGCGCCCCCCGCCCGCGTCTGCGGCTGCGCGGCCGGCCCGGGAGGGGGCGCGGCGGGCGGCTGGGAGCGGGGCCGCGAGCGGCATGTCTCGCTACACCAGGCCCCCCAACACCTCCCTGTTCGTCAGGAACGTCGCCGACGCCACCAGGTGAACCAAGACGGGACCCTGCGCGAGTACGGGCCGGGGCGGCGAGGTGTCGGGGTGCGGGCTGGGCAGTGGGCTGTCTGGCTGTCGGATGCTGGCCCGGTACCCCGGTGCTGAGTTGCAGGCTGTCAGAGTGCCAGCCAGGTGTCCGGGTACCAGTCGGGGGTTGGGGTGCTGGACTGGTGTCGGGACACCGGACTACGGGCTGTCGGGGTGTTGGGGTGCTGACTGGGTGCTGTCGTGATGTCAGGATGCTGGCCGGGTGTCGAGGTGCTGGCTGTGGTGGCAGTGATGGTCCCGGCCTTGTTGTCACTGCGTCCTGCAGACGCCGCCCACTAACCTTCCGGAGGAACTGGGGCTGTCTCATCTCAGGATGCGCACCTTAGGCCTTGCAATTTCCTCTGTGCTGTTCAGACAGTGCTTATGGCCCAAATTTAATGTACGAGGCCGGCCTGGTCTATAAAGCAAGTTCCAGGACAGCTAAAGCTGTTACACAGAGAAATCCTGTCACAAAAACAAACAAACAAACATGAAAACAAAACAAAACAAAAACCCAATAAATAAATATATACATACACAAACGACTGGTCAATTCGATGTATATGTTTTTGAGTGCTGGGAACAGTCTTAGCCTTCATCATGGTTAAGTAGTCAGTTTCAGTGCTGGGAGTCTTTATCTCCTCCAGCCCTCTTTGAAAATTCTGTCTAGATGATGCCAAGCATAGACCTTAAGAAATGCCCCTTTTCATATAGCGCTTTTTCCTTCAACAGGAGCCAGAGGGAATGGGAGGGGTGACATTAATAGACACCTGAATTTCACTGGAATTATTTAACCCTCATTCTAGTTCTGCAGTCTTGTCCACTTAAGGAAAAGTTCAAGTTCAAGGAGTTGCCTGGACCCAAATAGGCACAAATCTATACAGCTCTTCACTTGTTACCTGGAGCAATCATGATTTAAGTTTTGTTTTGTTGAGAGAAGGTCTGTACCTAGTCCAGGCTGGCCTCAAATTCCCTACATAGGCTAAGATGACCTTGAATTTCTGATCCCTATTTCCTACACCTCCCTCTCAAGTACTAGGATCATGGGTGTGTGTGCCACCACTACACTGATAATTTACTTTTAGGGATATTAAGTACTTCACAATAAGCACCAGGTCTTCATGGCATGTTTACAAAAGAAACCCCAGGGCTTTCCAATTCTAATGGCCACAAAGCTAGGCGGTGTAATACAGGTGGGTGAAGCGGTCAGCTTAAAGGCATAGTAGAAGGCGTGGGCTGCGGCAAATGGGCACGCACCATCTAATGGGGAAGCCCTGATGCCACTTTTTCTTTTCAGTTCTAGAGAAGCAAACCCAGGGCTTTATGCATGCTGGGCTCCCCTACTGAGCTATAGTGACAGGGACATCAATTCAACTCATTTTGTATCCCAATCAGGACTTGGCTTTCCCTCTTTCTGCTCCGACCTCTCCCAGAGCTGTGCTTACAGGCATGTGCCACTACTACCCCCAACTGGCCTCATCTTACTTTCAAGAGAAGTCAGAAACCTGGATTTTTGTGTCTATTTGTATATACTTAAATATACAATATATAGTGTATATATTTGTAAGTTTTAAAACATGGGGTTGGGGATTTAGCTCAGTGGTAGAGCACTTGCCTAGCAAGCACAAGGCCCTGGGCTCGGTCCTGAGCTCTGAAAAAACAAAGTTTTAAAACGTTAGCATTATTAAGTCGTATAAGGAGCCAGCAACATGGCTCTGTGAGTAGTTGCCTGCCTCCAAGCCTCAGCATCTGAGTTCTATCCCTGGGACCAACATGGCGGGAGAAGAGAATAACCTCCTCACGACCTCCGACCTCACATAAGCCACATCCACACACACAATAACTAAATAAAGATGTATTCAGTTGAATAATGTGAATTCTCATTTTTGTAGATTTAGAAGCTATAAAATACTGGCTATTTTAGATTTCTATAATGTCCAAACATTATGCATAATAAATAAAACACATCTGGGCTGGGGTGTAGCTTAGCTGTAATTGCTTGTCTTAGATTCGTGAGGTCTTGGGTTCTGTCCCCAGCACCATAAAGTAAAACAAACAAATAAAAACATGTCTTCATGTAACTACTAACCTTGGATCCAGCGAGCCCTCCACCCTGTGCTGAGGCTGACAGCTGAGAGTTACTAATTCTATTTTCTGTTCTTTCATCACTTTTTAGCCTGCCCCGGGGAGGTAATCAAAACTGAGATTATTTTGTATCAAGAGAATAGTAGTTTCTAGTATTGTTAAATATTCACTATGTGACAGGTGCTATGTGAAAAACTCTGAATAAGCCAGAGAGATGGCTCAGCAGGTTAAAACACTCGTGGCCAAGCTTGACAACCTGAGTTCAGTCCCCAGGGCAAACAAGGCAGGCGGAGAGCTGACTCCTTCATGCTGTCCTCACCTCCACATGAACATGGTGACATGTGTGCCCGACACACACATGCAACAAATGTAATTTTTAAAAACTTCACATATATTATCTTATTTAGTTTTCACCATCCTGCATGTCTTAATTAGGATTACCATTGCTGTGATGAAACACCATGACCAAAGCGATTTGGGGAGGAAAGGGTTTATTCGGTTTATGTTTCCACATCACTATTCATCATCCAATGAAGTCAGGGCAGGAACTCAAGCAGGGCAGGAACCTGGAAGCTGGAGCTGATGCAGAGGCCATGGGGGATTGCGGCTTACTGGCTCGCTCCACAGGGTTCCCTTAGCCTTCTTTCTTATGGAACCCAGGACCACCAGCCCAGGGATGGCACCACCCACAATGGAGTGGGCCTTTCCCACATCAGTCACTAATTAAGAAAATGCCTTACAGCCTTCACACAGCCCCATCTTAAGGAGGCATTTTCTAAATTGAGGCTCCCTCCTCTCAAGACTCTGGCTTGTGTCAAGTTGACATAAAACAAGCCAGTACACTGTATGTATGCTTAACTTTTATTTCAAATGAGGCCTTGTCTTGTTTTTGTTTTTTGTTTTCTTGGTGTTGGGGAGTTGAGAGAGGAAGGCAGGGTCTTATATATTCCTGGTTGTTCTTACAGGCACATGATACCACATCTTTAAAGATCTTGTCTCAAAAAAAAAAAAAAAAAAAAAAAAACCAAAAAAAAAAAAAGAAACAAAAAAAGGAAGAGAAGAAAAATAAAATGAGATTATAAAGAAATTTATTTGGCTGATTTTCTTTTCTTTTTTCATGTGTTTTAAAAGTGTGTATATACGTGGGGTTGGGGGTCAGGGGTCATCCTCTACTTCCCTCTACCTTATTTTTCTGAGACAGGGTCTCTCACTGAACCCAGAGCTCACTATTCCAGCTAGACTGTCTGATCAGCAAGGCCAGGCTTCCATCTCATGGGGCAGGTCTATCTCGGTTACTGTCCTGTTGCTGTGAAGAGAAACCATGACCAACACATCTCATGAAAGAAAGCATTTCAAGGGGAGCTTGCTTACAGTTTCAGAGGTTTAGTCCATAATCATCATGGTGGGGTGTGTGGCAGCAGGCAGGCAGGCAGATGCTGGAGCAGTAGCTGAGAGCTTACATCCCGATCCTCAAGCAGAGAGAGAGAGAGAGAGAGAGAGAGAGAGAGAGAGAGAGAGACTGGGCCTAGTGTGGGCTTTGGAAACTTCAAAACCTACGCCCAGTGATACACCTCCTCCAACAAGGCCACACCTCCTAGTCCTTCTAAACAGTCCACCAACTGGAAACTAAATGTTCAAATATACAAGCCTGTAGGGGCTATTCTCATTAAACTACCATAAGACCTTATATCCAACTTATAAAAACATAGTTGGTTACACCCATAACATGTTGTACCTATGGGTGTACCTTGCTTGCAGGTTGGTTCTGGAGGGTAACTAATAGCATTGGCAGTGGTCTATAATGCTTTATGTGTGTGGGGTGGGTGGGTTGAGATTCCATTGGCCAGTAACTAAAAAAGAGGTAACCTATTCTTGGTACTGACAGTTTTATTTGGTAGTGTATGGTATCTAGTTGGCATATCTCCCTCCCCCATTATAGAGTAAATCCATTTAAATGCCTTTTATATATGTATATATTTTAGGCAACTTCTACTGTAGTAGGTTTCCATATGACTTTTTCAGAAGTCCTTTAGAGTTAATTATCCCTTCCTGTATTCCCTCCAGCACCCTGCCCCTCTTCCTGCCCCATTCAGTCCTTCCTGTTCTGTTTTTCCCTTTTATCCCTTTATAAAATGGCATTCTATTTCCCCTCCCTTAAAATTCCCCTCCTCCCCCATAGCCCTTTACTGATTACATAAACTGTGGGTATTCCAAATGAAACACACATATCTAAAGATTCAAAGCTAATATCTATATATGAGAGAAAATATCTGATGTTTGCTTTCTGGGTCTGGGTTACCTCCCTCAGAATGATTGTTTCCAGTTCCATTTGTTTATGGGCAAATTTCATGATTTCATTTTTTTCCTTTTTCCCCTCTTATTGAAAATAGATTTTTTTCTCACAATATATCCTGATTATGTTTTCCCCTTTCTTTATTCTTCCCGGCTCTTCCCTATCTCCCCTCCCATCCAGATCCCCTTTCTGTCTCTAATTAGAAAACAAATAGGCTTCTATGGGATTATAATTAAAATATAAAATAAAACAAAAACTAACACATTGGAATTGGACAAACAGAAGAAAAAGACCCAAGAGAAGACAAAAGGAACAGAGATCCTCTTCCTCACACTCAGGAATCCCATAAAAACACTAAACTGGAAGCTATTATATATATATATATATATATATATATATATATATATATATATATATATATATATATGAAGACCTGTAGGGTAAAAGAGAAGAAAAATATACAACTAAAATAAAAATAATCATTTTTTAAATGAAGAGCTGTGACATGCCATTATGAGACAAGGAGCCTCCAGAGATGCTGGTGAGTTCATTTTCTGTTGGCATCTACTGCTGGGCATACAGCCTACCAATGAGAGTAGTTTGTTTCCCCAGTGAGACTCCTTTGGAGGAAACTGAATTTTCATTTGCAAGTGGCTATCAATTGTAGACCACTTCTGGGTTAGGGGTGGGGACTGTGTCCCTTCTCCTTTCAGCCCTACGACCCAACTGATGCAGACCAGTGCAGGCCCTGTGCATGCTGCCTCTTCATTCTCTGAATCCCTGTGTGCATGGATCATGTTGATTTAGAAGGACTTGTTTTCTCGGTGGTCTCGATCCCACTCTGGCTCACTCTTTACACTTCCTCCTCCAATGGGTCCTGTGAGTCCTGAGGGGAGGGATTTGATGGAGAGATCTGGTTTAGGGCTGAGTGTTCCAAGGTCTCTCACTTTCTGCATTATGTCTGGCTGTGGGTCTCTGTATTTGTTCCCTTCTGCTGCAAGAGGAAGCTTCTCTGATGATGCCTGAGCAAGGCATGGGTCTATGAGTATAGCAGAATGTCATTAGGAGTCATTTTATTGCTACTTTT